TTTTGCCACAAGGCTGAGTACCACCTCCAGCAAGCCAAGAGTCCACAATGAGTTGCCAGGCACGCATCTCTGTGAGCCTGGTATTGGTTTTGATGTCGATGAGGAAGGCACCGTTCACTATGAAGGAGCCAGTGGACACGCTCATCGTATAGGTAAAGAGTAAGTCGGCTGTATTTCTGGTATCGTGTGTAGGCTCGATCCAGAACTCTTGCGAGCGGGTTGAGACTTGTTCTGGATCTAGCCATGGTTGTAAGAAGTCGTAGTTGTATTTTGCTCCTCCTCGGCAAGGACGTTGTTGTAGTCCAAAGCTGGCAACGGTCTGTTTTGGAGCCATCTTGAGTGTGATCCGAAGTCTGCGTTTGGTGTGGTGATCGCCACTTTTCTCGGGATCCGTACGCAGATCAATATGAAGGGAGTGTGAAAAATAAACGCCGGTGTATGAGGTGAATGTAGCTTCGAATGAGAGGGACAGGAGTGAGAGAGTGAGTGATGTGTTTGGTGTCACTGATTGTGGTGCTTGAGATTGACTTTCACCAGTTTGTACTGCAAGAAACGGCACATATGAATAAAGTGAAAAGTCCTGGTATCTGAAAGTATGAGTTTGTTGTAGGAATCTTGACTCTGGACCTAAGTTAAGTAGACTCGGATCTAGTTTGTGATGGGCTGGTTTGCCATCTGGCCCAGACGACAACCGGTTCTGATTATTTGCTTGAGCTTAGAGCTTGACCGGCTTGTAAGCTTCATCGTGAAACCTAGTGCACACAATTCCCCCCAAATATGGGAAGTGGCTTCACTCATACTGGGAGAGGACAGTCTCTTTCTTGACAAGTTCTATATGTTCTTCACAGGTACCTAGGTGATGTGAGTTATATGGATGGTGCCTCCTGGAGAAGAAATCTCCATCTGATGGACAAATGAATGCCTGATACATCGGAGACATTTTGAAAGCCACAATGTGGTGTAGCTTATATAGCGCCAAAATCAGCTGTCAGTCGTCCGTCATTGTCACAACATCCCACAAAATTGCCTACAGATATGCCAAACCTTTCACCCACACCACCAACCAAGACCACTCTTGTTGGATCTTCTTTCTGTCAAAGTACCAAGACTACAAATACAATTCAACTTGATCCGGTTCTTGGGTTAAGATGGCTTCCCATCATGGACGCAGTGTTAAACTTGCACCGTTTGGTGGAGATGTTCTTTCAGCAGCTATTTGAGCCTCTTTGTTCTTAGATCGCACATTTTCTATATATTGAGTTTAATACACCCATACACATTTGCATACCCTGACAGATATCGAAAGATAAACATGTTCGGCTGATCAATCTAGGAAATCACCAAGCATAACTATTCTTCCGATGTTCTCTTGGAGTATTACCAGCCAAAGGTTTGCCCTCCACTCTTACACAAGATCTGATGTTTAAACTTTAGCATGTGAAAGATACCCTGAAATTCCTCCACTGTAGTACATACCTGGCTAGTAAGTGTCTTGGACCAGCAGCGGGAAGACCCGTTGATTCAGGTACCTTCAGGGCTGACCCCTGCCACTGCATCTCGCCGTTCTCGGGCTCCGCTGACGACATGGCAACCTTTTTTCCGAAACCAGTCAACCTGCAAGTCCATTTCCGTCCTTCGCAATCAAATCAACACCACATGATTAAAAAGACAGTCCTTTCCTCAGCATCAGCCGCAACTCTCCCCATGTTTTATCCTGGATCTGCAGTCTGCTCACTGTTCCCCATGAGAGTACACGACCTTCCACAGCCCCTCACTTGACTGCGCACTCCACAAGACAGGTCGTCATCGAGTCGCAATGGCGACCATCGACGACGTCCCAGTCGAGATAATACGGCAGATTATTCAACATGTGCCTCCCGAGGAAGCATTCAATACCCTCCCTTTGGTCTCCAAACGACTCAAGCGCGTCGCCTTCGAGCCACTACTGTGGAAATATTTTTGTCAGACATGCTTCCGCTTTTGGAATTCAGAGCATCGCCTGAGCGACAAACTGGAATCTAGAGCGTCGAAGACGCCGTGGCGAGATCTGTGGAGGCGACGCAAATATCGCAACGACCTGATCGCTCGACTACTCGATGGCATCATCGCGACCAAGGTGAATCGATTCGCAAAATTAGGACGCATCTGTCAATTCCGCTATGACGCAAAGGACTTTCTCTTGGAGCAGGTCAACATCTCCGAGTCTGTCGAGGATGTTCTAGCTAGACGGTATAGCAAGTCGCTTCATAGAATGTGGCAATCGCCCGCTGACACCGAATAGATACTATGCGAAACTTGCACTATCGAGCATACATCGAAGCGTCGCCGTCGACGAATGGTACCGGTACCAGCGCACGCCGCTAGCTGCTCAGGGCATCGATCGCGCCCTGGCCGCCTTCGACATGTTCTTCATTCGCGAAGACGATGGAGATATAGACGAAATATGCGCCTTACTAGATCGAATAGCGGTGGGATTCTTGCAAGAGCACGAAGATTTGGTTACTGCGCCGGCTCGCGATAAGGCACTGGCTTTGTTGAAGTGGGTACGGGAAAAGAACATGACTGGCATGGACGACGAAGGGAATAACTACCGTTGCTTGCGCAATTGTCTGTTGGGGCATGCGCTACGAGACCCGAACCATCCATCTCTACCCATCGTATCGTGTGTGATCTACACATGTCTAGCGGAGAGGATTGGGCTACGCGCGGCGTGTTGCGCTTTCCCGAGCCATGTCCATGCAATGGTGATGGCACCTTTGGGATTCGACTTGAATGGAGAGCGGCCTCAACCCCCCACAACCGACGTTGATAGGATGTTCCTCGATCCATACAGCTCGAGTGAAGAAGTCCACCTTAGTGATCTGCGCTCGCGTCTTGTCGAATTTGACTGGCACCACGGCCAGGAAGCATTTCTCGTCCCTGCGCCGGTACCCATACTCGTGCAGCGAGTAGGGCGCAACATGAAAATGACATTCTCTGACTTTTTGCATCGACGACAAGAACACCTCTCGGTAGAGCACCTCGCCGTTTTGCGCGATGACCAGCCGTCGTCACGGCGCACGGTCGAGAGTGCAGTGTATGCGGCGAATTGGGCGAATCTACTGATGACGCCTGTCAGCAACTTTCAATGGGACAGCACTCTTGATGATTTCTTGCATTATGTCACACACTACTTTCCGGAGGACGCATGGCTGGTGGAGGAGTATATCCAACCGCTCTACACAATTTACACGCAGTCCGTCCAACCACGCCACCGCTTCACGCTAGAGAATGTCCCCGAGGTGTTGCGGCTGTTGCGCAACTCGGACGCCAGGCTGCCGACGTCTTCGCGGCGGTACACGCAGGAGATCCACAAGAACGTGTGGTACACGGTGGGCCAGGTGTTCCGGCATAAAAGATACGGGTACATCGGGATTCTCAATGGCTGGGGCGCTAAAGGTACAAACTCGCTGCCAGTAGCGCATAGCTTGTCGATGGAGGAGGTCATGAATGAGCTCTCCGACTCGGGGACAGGGAGTGATACGGACACGTTGAGGGCGAGGTTGAAGAAAAAGGTGTTTTACACTTGCATGTAAGTGACCCCATGACAGCCAGCCATTGCTTTCGATGACGAGGACGTTGGCTGATATTCTTTTGGCAGGACTCACAAGCATGATCGCTCTGTCATTGCCCAGGATGCTATTGAGATTGTCCGGGACCCGAGTCTCATACCAGAGGCGTTAATGAGCATTGCGGGAAAGTTCTTCAAGAGCTTCGACCGTTCCACGTGTACATTTGTGTCGAACATCAAGGAATATTTTCCCGACGACTGATGAAGTTTCTAGAGTGAGGAAAACGAGGATGCATAGTCAGAGACATGTGTTGCATAGCGGGTTGAAAGGGAGTTCATCAATATTAGGAACATCCCTTTTTTTTATTTCTTCCAGCATAGCATATCATGCGTGTCAAAGCCGTTGAATATATATTGTTTAATCTCCGCACAAAATTACATTGTGCCAGATCCATCATAGAAGGGGCAACATCGAGGGTTGGATGCTGTACTGCCAAAACCACAACTGGGCGAGCCTTGCATTATGTTCGTGATCAACGCAACACTGGCAAAGGTTTTCCAAAAATAGCTTCCATTCCATAACCGACCTCATTCGATCATGAGGTCTCACCTACACTTCGTACATGATTCACAATTCATATTTGACGTCAAGCAAGGACTGTTCTGGCCCAAGGACCTGGTCGATGTTCAGTCAGTATTGCACTAGTCCCGGCCCGCGAGGGTAGGGCGCACGTGTCGGCAGCGCTAAAGAGCCCTGTGGCCATGCAGATATGAATTCCTGGGGCCACGGTGCGGATGATCTATTTAAGCCGCTGGCTGGAGTTGCGGATGTGGCTTGTTGAAATGGGATACAAACTCCAAAAGGAAAATGCTCGGCTTACTTTCGAAGCTATGGTTTCGAAGGAGCCCGCGCATTGGGTTGTTTCTCGTGCAATATCATAGTAAGTGCAAGCTGGTTATGGCACGCGCGGTAGGTAGGAACACACAAATGACCCCCCAACTTGCAGCCATACGATGGTAATCCAGTATTCTGTCAAAACAAGTATTTGGAAATACCTCAATATCGCGACATCCATCCTTGATACACAAGTTGGCATCCGCACAAGTGGTCATCGCATCTGACGGAGGGCGTCCAATTCCAGCACACACAGCTTTGACAGAGCCGCTACAACATGAGGCTCGCTCGGGGGACGGGGATTTCTGAAGCGACGGACTGCAAGTTTCACGCTTCAAGGTTTTAATAACATCTTCGGGATCCCCTTAGATGTCAAGATGAGCACAGAGTATGGCAATTTCAGATATTCAGACAGGGCGCACTGTGGTAGGAATGGACATTTCATTACACACAGGGGCTCTTGGTTTTCGTGCTATTCTCGGCTCTCGGCTGAGAACACTTAACACAGACGATATATACTTGTATTTTGGCCATGGTTGAACCAATCAACTTCAAGCTGGTATGGCCGAGGTATGTTTGACGTTAGACTCCAATCTCGCGCGCCCAGCACAATCTAACCCCTTTCCAGTGGTCTAAGGCGGTGGTTTTAAGTTGTATTAAACACCATTTTCGAAAGAAGCGTGCGTTCGAACCGCACTGCCAGCAATATGCCCTTTTTTTTTTGTTTCCTCTGGTTTGCTTTTTTGCTCGGGCCATGCACGTTATATTCGCGGCATTTTTGACAACAGCGGCGATGGGCAGCTAGCTCATTGCGGTGCCTTTAGCTTTGTAAAAAGGTGCTTTGTGGGCTGCTTGCTTTCCAAAATCTCTGCGCTGCCAAACCTTTCTCCGTCTTCCATCTGGAAACTCACTACACCATTTCGGGACAAATCTTCGCTGCCATTTTCAAATTTCATACTACATCTTCCAAAGCACCTATGATAATTTGGTCGCTTGTATTAGTCGACAGTCGAATCTCGTTCGCAGTTGGTGAGATCGGAATGTCATAGCGTCGGCACAAGGCGTGGTATAACTGAGCCGGGGATTGCCCGTAAACGGCTCTCTGATCGGTCAGCACAGAAGTCCAGCAGCCAGTCCTGCAGATGCCAGAACTCGACTTCAGGGCTGAGTCTTACTCAATACTTATGGTGCGGACACGCAGGACGTGCTCGACTCGTCGCAAGACACGCGCAGAGCCTCATCTGGAAACTAGGTACTGATTTCACCCACTCGATCGAACTTTGCATCTCCACGCGGAGTAGGCTTTGAAGGGAGGTAGACGTTCAGTCCTTTTTCTGACCGTACTTCCCCCACAAAAAATTCCTCGTCCAGCTTAACTTCTTCGCTGGCGTTGTTCCTATTGTCTTCCTCGCCCCGTTGCAGCCCAAATGTATGCTTGAGCTCTATCCAGCTAGCTTGGCACGCGGAATATGTAAAGGATCATCCAAGCTCCATTAAACGAAAATGCGCCAGAGTACTTTGGTCATCTATTGAGGTTTAAAGCTGAGCCCCCACCCCCAGACAACATACTGGAGATCGGAAGCGTCTGTCACGATGATACCAGAAGTTGGTCGGATCAAGTATACAGTATCGGAAGTGAGCATCGGCTATCGGTACGATGAATAACATGAGGGCAGTCAAGTTACCCAGTATGGCATCACTAGGGATGGGAATGAAGCAAGATCACTTCCTCAACATGGGTGTTGACCGATCCACATGCCTGACAAGACCGTAGTCCTCTTCAATAAGGAGCAACAGAAGTAAGCCTAGCAGAGGTAGCTACCTGGAGACCAGTTACTGGGTAGAAGCAGACGTAAGTATTTGCATGAGTGCCTGTCCCACAAGCGATTATCCCACAGGTGATTGCTCCGCAAACCATCGTGACATTTTGACAATATCCCACAGACTTTCTCCCTGGTGATATCGTAGACACATGTCCTGCATGCAAGTGTACTGTACCACAGGTTCCTCTCTGGTGATGCCACAGACCGTCATGCCGAAGGCTTAATTCGTCTCTCACCGCTTTCGAGGCTATCATGTGCCATATTCCCTCCATCGGCCTCTATCATAGAGATGACATTCACTCAGACATTGGCTTTCCAAAATCGCGGATTTGTTGCTGGTACGCGAGGGCGAAAGACGAAAAGGCCCACTCAACAAAGGTCGGCGGGGGCCAGTAAGCCTGGAAGACCAGGAGTTGCTCCGCATTAAGATGGACCCGCGTGTGTGACATCTCAAGATTCTTCGAAACATCAGGTCATCATCTCGACATTGCCCACCACATCGTCTCTCAGAGTTGACACATTGTTGGAATGGAGGTCGGATGTAGGCATGCCGTGCGCGATGCTTCGCTTTCAACAAGGTTCCGAGAGAGAAGCGACGCAATTGTCGACGATGAACAATAGTTCGAAAGTGAAGAATATAAAGAGGACGGATGGAAGACCAAGAAGTTGAACGATATCTTCCCATCATCATCACTCCTAGAGACACAAAACTTTGAAATAAATACCTTAGAGCTCACCTTGGAAAAATTCAACACCACTATTATATTTAAGGTCAAATCAGCCAAAATGTTAGGCAAGATCGCCCTTGAGGAGGCCTACGAGATGGTTGGCAACGAGGCCAAGTCTCGATACGAAGCATCTCTGTACATTGAGAAGTCGGACCGAGAGCGATACATGACCGCCATCCACGATATCAACGACGTGCGTGTCAAGGAGGCAGACAAGCATGGCATCGGCTACACCATCGTGTCCCTCACCGTCCCCGGCATCCAGGGCATCGCAGACAAAGAAGAGGCGGAGCGCCGAGCGACTGAAGTCAACAACTGGGTTGCTGAAAAGATCAAGAGCCAACCCGATAAGCTGGGTGCTTTTGCCTGCCTGTCGATGCACGACCCGTTGCAGGCCGGCAAAGAGTTGACGAGGTGTGTCAAAGAGCTTGGCTTCCACGGTGCTCTTCTCTGCGACTTCCAGCATGCGGGCCCCAACGGTGAGACGTACTTGTATTACGACCAGCCTCAGTACGACGCCTTCTGGCAGGTCCTTCAGGATCTTGACGTCCCTTTGTATATCCACCCTGCAGCCCCTGCGGATGTTGTGTACGACAAGCTGTACGCCCAGCGCAAGTACTTGATCGGTCCTCCCTTGTCCTTTGCCAACGGTGTCAGTCTACACCTCCTGGGTCTTGTCACCAACGGCGTGTTCGACCGCTTCCCAAAAGCCAAGGTGATCGTTGGCCATTTGGGCGAGCACATTCCCTTTGACTTCTGGCGTATCAACCATTGGATTGAGGATGTGAAACGGCCCATCGCGAGGGAGGAGGGTTACGATAGGTTCTGCAAGAAGGATATCTACCACTGTAAGTTTTTTTTTTTCCTTTTCCGCTCGGCTATAAGACTTTCCCCATGGATTGTATGCCTAACTCTATGCAACGCACATAGACTTCAAGACCAACATATGGTTGACCACCAGTGGACACTTCTCCACTCCCACGCTCAAGTATGTTGTCGACGAGCTCGGCGCGGATCGTGTGCTCTTTAGTGTCGACTACCCGTACGAGACGATCGAGAACTGCTGCAACTGGTGGGATGGCCAGGCCGAGGAGGTCAAGGTCGCTGTTGGTGGAGTCGAGAATTACAAGAAGATCGGAAGGGAGAATGCAAAGGCGTTGTTGAAGCTAGGCAAGTATCACGATTCGGAGGCTCCGGTCTCGTAAGGTGTCAGATGCTCGGTGGACAAAAGGGGTTCGTTGCAGCCTGCTCGCAGGTGATCTTCGTGTTTGAGGGAATTCCTAATCTATTTTAATGTCTTTGTGGGGGGGGGGGAAGAAATGTTGGAGCTCTATCTCTTTTTTGTCAACATAAGGCGATGCCCAAAGTATCCCACCGCGTCCAAGCTTGCTAAGCGAAACAGCACTGGTCCCAGCCACTGCATCTCGATCACACCGTCGGCTGATATGAACGAAAAAGCTGTGGGCTTGCATTGATTGCTTACTATGCTCTCGCCAAATAACCTAGGCTGCCACAAACACCTGCAGTCAACCATGCACAAAAGAGCCTCCCTGGCTCCCTGGCATGCACTGAAGGGGTACTGTATCCCAGTACAGTGACTCAGGTGCGAACAAGAATGCTCTCTTGGGGACGGCAAACCGATAACATTCCTTCTCCCATCAACTAAATGACGAGAAAGATCTCCTGTCTCTCACGCCGGGTTATCAACAAGACAAGGGCTATCCTCTATCATTGTCTCAAGAATCAGTTGCAGCAATCAATACTCACGCCATGGCTACTCGATTGGAATGTCTCAGACTATATTTCATCATGTTATCGCACTCACCACCTACCTAGGTATGCATGACGAACCACTCCCCAGATTACAAGAAAGTCTCGACTCGAGCGCTGGGCTGAGATTGGCTACGTGGAACTCCAGTAAGGGCAGTAGAACCATGTTTGGGAATGAGGCGTATGCAAGACAGTCCAAATATGAGCTGATTACTGAGTTGGAAGAACGACTGACTGATGAGTAGAGATGCATAACCCTCAACTCTCGCTTAAGTACCTCACGCTGAATCCATTTCAGTGAACGAGACCACGAAGCAAAGCTCGCGGTATGACTTGAATCTCTCCACTGTCAATTGTCATGACACACCGGGGGGGGAGTCTAAGAGTCAGCGCAGTCATCACGAGCAAAAATTTAAAAAAAAAAAACCCTTTGACAGTTATTTGGAGTGTTTCCTCTTCGCACCACGATGCTGTGATCGTGACGCTCGCGTGAGCCTGTACCTGATTCAAAGTACCAACACACCTCTAGAGCAACCCGAGTCGCTGTCTCCTTGAGAGACAATGCACAAAGTATGACTGATAAAACGCTCTGGCCGACTTTGCAGCCTTGGGGATGGTATGGAGTAGAGACTAGAATGATCTAGCCACACTTTTTGCCTTTGCGGTTAAGCGGTCTCGGCACACATACATGACGTGCCCCGGAAAAGTCGATTGACGCGTTGATTATTTCAGCCTCCTGCGTGTATGTTTTGGAAGGAAGGGCTACTCGATACCCGGTGAAAGAGAGTAATCAGGTATGGCAACATGAATGAGGCTTTCCTCCATGATGCCAAAGTTACGTTTGACCGGTCAGCCGCGGTGTGGATCACAAGAAGAAGAAGAGGAAGAAGAAGTAGGGCAAGGAATGTATACCCGAGCAGCCCCTCTAAACTAGACACACAGTGCCTGCATCCTTGTCGTAGTAGACCTGGATGCTGGGCTATGATTTTCTTGTCAGCAAGTCCCTCTCTACTGTCCCGGCCATCCGGTACCTAAATCGTGTAAGGTTACGGTGGGGTCTGCTTTCATACTACGTCAGTGCCCAAACTACTACCGTAGTATTCAAGAAAGCTCTCATAGTTCCGATGGTCTAAGATAGTATGCGTGTATATATAAGCTACCGTCCGCAAGAGAAGAGGAAAAATAGATGTTCAGAGTGACATGTTGGTCCGGCTGAACGTTTCCTCCCTCCTATTCCGGGATGAGGGACGTGAGATCGTACGACACGAACCCTCTCGTGCAAGGTATACGCCGCTACGGCGAGCTGCAGCTCAACGGGGGGGGGCTTAATGCAGGCTGTACACAGAGAGAGAGAGAGAGAGAGTCCTGCGTAACAAAAACCAGC